GGGTAAATTTGAAAAGAAACCCGATCCGCTGAAAAAAACCACCAAGCCGACGGTGTCAATATTTTATTAGAGTCAACAAACGAAGCAAAACAACTGCAAGGTCAATTATGAGGGGCCATGTACCCCCCCCCCTCCTTCCAAATGGCACCAAGGTCACGCCCCTTAGTAGATTTTGGAAGTCGAAAATATTGAAAATTATGATCAAAGATCATAATGGTGCTGAACAGCACCTAAATTGTTCCATCTGGCTTGCTGTCATTTAGAAGAAATCAAGAAATATGTATATGATTTCCAATTATCAGTCGTTTGACTTATTTTTGGAATAGACAGTGCTATTGACGAATCGTGTTACGTGACCGAAAGGATGTACATGTTTTTTCACTGTTTTCTCGAAAAGTGTAATATCCACTGAGCTAGAGCTGAATCTTTAACGGGTTAGGTTTTGAACATTCGTCTTTGGAGTTTGAGTGGTGTTATTATTAGAAATAAACGAAAAGCACGAATTGTAAACGATCCGAAATGCAAGTGGTCTTTTTAGGAATGTAATAAGTAACGCTATCGCCTAAAATGTCCAAACCTTATAGCCGATTGGAGTTTATTCACCCCGACATTGAATCTTTCTCGGCCATTCATGAATTTCCCCCTAAATTGTTGCGTGTCCGGCGTTTTGCCAACACCACGGCACAATGACCAACAACATCCTCTTTCTATCTTACCGGCCACCGGGAGATTATGTAACAGCATCCCCTCGCACTCTGACGGCGTGGCCTCGGTAAAAAGATTTACCGGTGTTACCGTAAAAAGTGATCCCATAAACCTAATGTCCTTTAAAATGAAGTTTTTCAACCATACACGTGCCAAATGATCGCATTGCTAGACATGCGCAATACGGTCAGTGGTCCGTTTATTATGGAGTCCAATTTTCCTCATTACACCTACAAATTGGGGAAACGAATTTGAAAAACATCAATGGAGAACTGCCCCTAAAACAAAACAACTTCCTTTTGCGAAAATATTGAATCCTTGCCCTCCAATACTATGAATATTTTGTCACAACAGAATAACTGTCATATTTGGGCATAATTTTGTGGTGAATACAAATTATACAATTTTTGTTTCGAAATTTGGTGTCAGACTTAAGTTATGAGTGAAGGGAATGAAGTATGTGGCTTGTGATTTATGTATAAGGCCTAGGTCACTGCTTGATGTTGTTGTGCGGCAATCTATGCAAATGAGCTACCTTTGAACTCTGACCTTGATATCTGTATGACGACTACAGTATCATAACAGCATCAAATTGTAAAACAAAAAGTATATCATTGGGGGTTCGTTTTGTTTTAGACATTAGCCTGAAAGTGATAAAAGGAGAGTAAAATTTGTATTTACCGTGGTTTTTTTTTGGACTTGAACCACGTTTGTCATTTTTATAGACTTTTACAATAAAACTTGATGGTACAAAGGCTTTGTAGTATAGAATATCATTCTGCCTCAATTTCAGTCAAGTTCCCTGTATCCAATTACTGTACTGAATGATATTTTGTGTGTGTGTGTGCAAAAAGGAACCAGACTATTTTTTTTCCTTCCAGCCTCGCTTTGGTTACGTTGATTTGAATGAAAAAAAATCAAGATGGCCGCCACATGATAATGGTCTATACCTCAGGCTCACCATGCCACAGACCTCTATAAATCGAATCATGTCGTAGGTTCAAACATGCGAAGAAGTGGGTTCATTACTAGTGAAGTGGTTCGACTTCGAAATTTGTTTAAACTCAGAAACACAGTTTTAACAGTCAACCAGTATTGCTAGTGTGTATGTCATTATAAAGAGTATTTTCTCTCTGTCTGAATGTGATAACCGAACTTGTGGCAAGAACGTCGACAGTGAAGTGTTGGGAAAGAATCTCAATGTTATCACCGAACCAATAAGGTGTTAGTAGCACGCTGAGACGCGTGTTAGCTGCTATATGACCGGGTAGTGTCATATTTCTGACACATTGCATAATTATACCAATGTTGCCTTCCGTCTGTCACTCAGGTGCCAAATTTGGTAAGAGCTTTTGCAAGTTCGTTTTTTTGTGTTTCCCTGTTGATATTGAGGGGAATGAATAATGAGACTAGGAATGTCAGAGTGTGCCACGTAGGCTACTTTTTTGTCAAGATTATGATATCTGCAAAAAGCAATCATCATATTAAAGGCATTTAGCCTCATTTGCCTTTCATGCATTTTCGTTTCCAATAGGCCTATTTACACCACTCCGAATCCAAAGAAGAATGTTCAAAACCTAACCTTTTGAAGTTTCAGCTCAGTGGATATTACATCCTTCGAGGAAACAGTGAAAAATCATGCACAACCTTTGATCACGAAACACGAGTTCGTCAATAGAACTCTTTACTATCGTTGCAAATCAACTGGTCTGGATTCCTTCTACATTATTATTGCATGAGAGCAAGCTAGACGTACGGAATAATTACACGGGGTGTTTTCAGTACGATCTTTGTAATCTTTTTAATGATATTCGGTAGATTACTTTTGTTTTGGGATAAATGCAAATGTCTATGATATGCCTTTAACCAATATGATTGCGTCGAATTGAAACTTGGTTTTACAGTTGGAAAATAGAGTGACTTTAACGGTAAAGTATTTTATAAATATTAAAATACCAGCTCCTAGGTCTGTTCCGTAATGTTGTAGTCAAGTTCACCATCATCCCTCACAAGTCGATTGACTTGTGGTTAATACTTCTGGCTTGACTTGTAACTGGACTCCGCTACAAAACTGCTGTTCAAAACGCATCCTTCATTTTTACAAACCCTCAAAAAGGCTCGAACGCATGGGCCACAACACCAGGCATTTTGGACCCATTTTAGTAAAACCTGCAGCCCTTAAGGTGCGTTCCCCATGACGTAGACGAATAGGTCTGTGTACATCCGTCTGACACGTCCGAGGCGTGTGGTTTTTGTCCACCAAAAATAAAATCGGGAAAGAAGTTCCAAAGATCTAAGCAAAGAGTGGATCAGTATGGCATCAAGCATGGACTACCTACGACAAGCTATCCCGCGGTTTTAGACAATGCAGGCGGGGGGGGGGGGGGGGGGGGGGGTTGAAGGGGGAGGCGAAGTTTACTACAACTCAAGAGCTGAAGAGCGTGCATTAGCGGGCCCGAGTGTCGATGGGGGGTTGACCCCAATGTCTCGCCGGGTGATACCCCGTAACCCCTCGGGGGAATAAGGCGCTAATACCCGCTGGAGCCATCCCGCGCAGTGTGGAACATCTCAGGTCTACGAAGTACGAGGATGACATGTCTCACGACTGGAACATGCTGACACCACGATACCCCCCCCCCCCCACCCTTGAAAAAGGAGAAAAGTAAGGGTCGTCGTGCAAAGAATCTGTTGAATAAAAACTCGTTATTTTGTTCTACATGGTTTGGTGAATATCAGTGTTTTTCAGTACCGGGAGGGGCGGGGCTTGTTCCACCCCGCCTACTTCAGCACTTGTATTAATTGTATTGACCGATTTCACTGACAATTGTTCTGAAAGTAGAGAAATCTGAGATTAAAATTTATGCAAGGTTTTATTTCAATTGGATAAAGAATTGTGTATAGTTATCGCCATTTGTATTTCACATTACGGTTCGTGCATGAGTTCTTTCCATGCACATCAACGAATAAGAAATCTTTTAAAAATATTTTACGTATATAGTCTCGCACACTGTGTATCATTTTTGGTAACCAAGAAAGTAGAAAAAACCTAGATGTCTTGTAGTTGTAGCCTACGTGGAGAAATGTGCGTCACGTTGATAATCAGGGACTACAAGAATGGCTTTGTCGGGGTAAACAACGCCTTTAATGAGGCTACGAGGCTCATCGTGTTCATGGGGACAGCCACTAATTTTAGCTTCAACAAGATTATTGTTAGCCTCAATTCAACTGGAGTTTGTTCACAAGGAAGAGAACAGTCATTATGTTCAGTGGGAAATAGTAGAGATTTTGTGTTGTGCAGTATTGTGTTGATGTGACGTGAAGGGGTCGCACCGGGTCACGTAAGGTGGCATTCTGGGGTTTGTAGGGTCAGGTGTGTCAGGGATGAATAGCAGTCAAATTAATTTCCCGAGTGAAGGAAACGGCACGCAGTTTCCCTCAGCCTAGTAGTCTAAGTAGCTGTTAAAGATCTCAGAGAACTGGCCAACGTGTTACATTAATTATCCATTATGGTTGAGCCATGGTCTTTAGTACAGGGCCGGGTTGGGCCCACTGAACTCTATGGTTGGGCCTACTTTAAGCCGAGATGGGCAGGTGACGGCCCTTAATTCAGATCTCGACTTGTTGAATATGTTGCCTTGAAAAGACATGTAATACATCATATTTAATGATAATTACAGATGTACAATAGGGCAGAAGGGCGGATCCAGAGCATCATTTGGGGGGGGGGGGCAAAATAAAATTGGGTCCCCCATCCACAAAAAGTGGGTCAAACAAATTACGGCGTGTGGTTTGGGGCCCGCTTAAGGGCCCCGAAAATTATTTTGGATTCTAGGCCTATATGCTCTGTGGTGCGATCTGAGGCAATTTCTGAGCACAATTTATAAAATTTGTGTCGAACGGTGCGCAAGACATCACTCAAGACTTTTAATTAAATATTTTTTTTACCAGTTTGACGGTGATAACGAACACTTACGGGCAGCGGAGCCACTCCCGGATTTTAGGAGTTAGAAAAACCTGCCAATTTAGAATAATGTATACATAATTTTTAACAAAATTCGGAGAGTGTATTAAAATAATGCTTCCCGAAAATGGGTAGCAGTGAAACTTCTACGGAGCTGATTTCATCTAAAATGATGGCCTTCCAATGTTTTATGTAATAACGTGCGTACACAGTACCACTACGGCCATGTGTGACTGAGCACTACAACAACTAAAACCACAAACTTGTAACAGGAAGCAAGCATCTTTTGTTAATCTTTATCTTGGATTTCTCCTCTCTCTTGTTTTGTCTTCAGGTCTGTTTATCCCCAAGGCTGTGCTTCGCCCGGTCCACCCTTCAACGCCAGCCTGCAACCCACTTGATTCTACGGAGGTGCTTCGCTAGCCTTATGGATGTTCATGGAACAGAGTGAGCCCGCCTGGCCCCACCCAGGAGCACTGACCAAGTCTCCGTACAGCGACCAACCCCAGCAGCAGCAGCTAGAGGGTCACCGACCAGCCGCTCCGGCCGGTTCCCCGGACAGCTGCGCTAGCGAGACCTCCGGGAGCGACTCGCACTCCCACTCCAGTGAGGACGAAGCCGACCGGAGCCCCGGGTCCGCCTCTTCCCGAGCCGATAGCCGGTCCGTCGGTAGCGCCTCCCACCACACGCCTTCCCCGCCCGCTACGGCTACATCCCCGCACCGTCTCAGCACCAATCCCCTCCTGAGCGGGTCTGCCCCCACTAACCCCACCAACACCGACCTCTACCGCGGCGCTTCAGCCTGTCTAGCCGAGCCCTCTCAGCTCCTACAGAGCGAGGACGTTGAGGTCTTCTTCAATCACTTGGATCGTCAGCCTTCCCCAAACTCTCGCCCACCACACCAGGTCCCTAACATTCCCGAACCCCATCAGCCTCTGAATCCGGTTCATCCACACCACCACCAGGACCACTACAACCCCTCCATGATGTACCAGTCACCCATGACAAACCTGCCTACCGTGAGCACCGGGGGCATCCAGCACTCCTACGACAACACCTTCCTGCATTCTGCCGGGAGCCCGGTCTACGTGCCCACCACGCGCCCGGCGGTGCTCTCCATGCCCCACGCTCACTCCCAGTATCTTCAGGCTGCCGCACCGGCCGGTTCGCCCCAGCAGGCCATGCAAGGCAACACCCACGCGGCTGCTGCCGCTGTCTGGAGCCAGCAGTCGGAAGGCGGTTACACCACCACGACCACCTCGCACCCGTCCGTGGGTCAGCGGTTCGCCTTCCCACCGAGCCCGCCGATCACATCCACTGGAAGCCCCCTGACGGCTCGGCACGCCACCACGGCACACAACGGTCTTGGTGCCTACTACGTGAGCCCGGAGATCGCCTCGTGGTCTGCGCCGTTTGATAGCTCCGTTGCTCTGCACCCCAACATGATCGCAAGACGACCAAGTCCAGGTAAGTGTTGAAGTCTCATATCTGTTCAACCATTAGCACCTGTAATACAATCTGTCCTACATTGTATTACATTGTATTACATTGTAATACATTGTTTTACATTGTATTACATTGTATTTATTCCCTGATGAATCCATGAAACTACAGAGTGCTCGGGCGTTTTGGGGCAGGACAGGGACCGTTTAACTCGCCTGTTCAAAGGAAGATAACTTTTATCATAATACTTATCTCAATAACGAATACTTGGCTTGATTAAGGTAAGAATGCAGCGCTTTATTATATTCCCCAATAAAACATTATGAAGTTTATTCCAAAGTATTTGTATTTTCGCAAGTAACAGAATAACATCCAGTGAGGTTTACATTGACGAGTCTCATGAGAGTTCAGTTCTTTTTGGGAGGAAGTACTATTCTTTAGGAAATGGGTCAACTCGTACCCAGGTTAACTCGTACCCGAGTCAACTCGTACCCCAAAATTGACACCCCAGTCAACTCGTACCCGAGTCAAGTCGTACCCGAGCTCGTACCCGCAGACCCAAAATCATTTTTTATATATACATATTTTTTTATATTTTACGTTTTGTGCTCCATTTTGGGGTGCAAATTATCCAAAATCTTGAGCCTTTCAGAGAGAAATTCGGAGGAGAAAAAAGATTATAAAGAATCGAAATTCTTGGGAATTATAAAATATCAGACTTTAGTTTCAGCAAAGATTTGTTTTTTTTCTTGTCTTCAAACTGGTACTGGGTTTCAAAAGCGAACCTTATGGGTTCCCAAGTTATTCAGAGCCCTTCCTTGTACCATGGAGCTATATAGCTCCAGGCTTGTACATGTAGTTGTACCCTCACAATGCTTGTACTCGAGTGTCATTTCGCATAAAAACACGTACAAGTCTAGTCTATTGAAGCTAAAAGCTTCATAAAACTCAACAACTCTTTCACACTCCATAAAAACTGAAACCTAAATCCTTCTCCATTTACAACTTATTCGAAGGCAAATTACAGTCAGTACCTCCCTTTCTTCTTAACGCGAAACTCTCTTTATTGTGTTTTATTGTGGCTAATTGCTGAGTCAACTAATACCCTCCTGTACAGACTACTTCGCGCCCGGTTTCCTAAGGCCTATACAAGTCGGCTCTCTTTTTAGTTCCTGCACGCGAAGTTTGCCCGAGCTGAGGTGAGACACACCGCCCCACAATAGGATAAGCTTCAAATCCCCGTTGGTTGAATGGCTTAATCCGGCTATACGGCTTGTTGGCAACCGACCCACAAAGAGACACTTGCCGCTTGTATGGACCCTTTCAGTGGCTTGGTATTAATGGCAAAAGGCAAACTTGTTCTTACTTCAAGACTGTTTCTGTAAGCAAATATGCTTAGCCCTACTTGCTCTGTTTGTCGACAGTAAGTTACAAGACATCTTATTATACTTTACGCGTTTTACGCCCAGAAATGAGACTAACAGCGAACCATGAAACAAACAACAGTTTCTCTATCGTTCATGTTTTGAGTGTTTTTATTACAACTGGTCTCTTCTCATGCCGTTGACAGAACCATAACTGTCGGTGGTACCTCCCATTGTCCTTCATTGCTTGGCATTTATCCAAGGATTAGCAACAAGACATCTTACGGTTTAACACTTAAGCTTGCGCCCAGAACAGAGGCTAATTAACAACAAACCATAACAGTTTCTTCATCGTTCATGTTTTGAGTGCACCCGCTTTGTACTACAATGGTCTTTTCTCAAGACGCTCGTGCCGTCGTCAGAACTGTCGGTGTTTCCTTTCATGGTCATTCTTTCATTGGCATTCGTCCAAGGATTTTCAAAGGCGGCTTTTTTTTGTTAGCCGCTGGTCTCCAAGAACGCTGACCAGTAGTGGTCTGGCCGGAGGGTTCAATGACTGACCAGTGAATGACCAGTCTCGGACTTTCTTGTGTGTCCTTTGTAAGTTCCTCTCTTCTGTGTCCAACCATGGTCTCATAAAAGTGTAATTATCTCACAACAACCATCTTTATTCTGAGAGTTATGAACAACAATTGGCGGTCCAGCAGTAAACTTTACTAAATTTTCACACTAAGTTGTGATAATCGTTGTCGAGCTGAGTTGAAAAGAGAAAGGCGCTGATTTGCCCAACTACTGCCTTAGCAGCCATCTCATTGATGCAGTTTATATTTATTTACCAATTTTCTAAATTTTGATCAAAACATGTGTGTTGCGTATTTCCAAAACGCGGTAAACGCCATTTTGTTATCTTTTGGAATCCTACCCTCTCCTTTCTGACAAAAATCAGTTTCGACGAGTTCAATGTAGTTAACTACAACCTAAGAAATGAATAACAATAAGGCGAAAAGTGAAGTTTAGTGAAAAAAAACCTGTCATACTGTTTTTATTCATAAAAGTTTCAAAATCGTGGAACTTAAAATGTTAACCCTCCAACCAAAATGTATCTCGGGAATCCAAATGATACATGTATGCCTAATATACGGGATTTCCCAATATTTTTTTCACTTGTTAATTTTGTCATTTACCTGATCTGTAATGTCGAAATTTATATATGAAATCCACTGATTGTCAGCGCGGCTGTACAAATACGGAGGTTGATATAGACCTACCAAGGAATTTTCACGAAAATGGCGGAATAAATACAAAGAGGGAAACATAAAAAAAAAACAATATGCAACTTGGTCAAGCTGCACAGCTCATTAACAAATGTGTCAGCTTTTGATCAACAAACCAAAACAAACTTCAGTTCCATCCACAAAATATAATCTCGCATAATTTAATAGTCGGCAGCGACATAGGTGTTAAATACCTCATACACAATACACACCGTTCACGTTCGCCAATCTAATCAATTGAGTGTTATACCTAAATGATTCCCCACTAGTCGCGATAACCCCAACACCCACAATACTATTTCCTTTTATTTGACGATAAAATTATACAGCACTTGCAAAACTATGCATATCAGAAGTAGCATTATATCAGTGGTGTTATTTTTTATATGTGGCAGCCGCAAGAACAGACATGATACAGGCCTGCACTCGTCTGCAGACTACTTCATACTGATAATCGGCCATTAAAACTCATCCGTATCACGCATATCTGCCGTTTGGTTCTCGCTATCTACACCAGCGTATCATAACATTTAGTTTAGGGCAAGATTTGGGCAAACATTGCAAATCTTCCGTTATGGCATGCAGCTTCCACGTATGCCAACTACCATATCTCCTCTGTGTGTCCTAAACCTGGTCCAAAACAAAGTAAATCTGCTCGGAAAACGGGACAATTTACTGATAAAGCTGGAGATTAGGGCAGCAAATAGTTAGAACACAACCAGACGCTGATAACAGAAAAACACACCGAGAATACTGTTTAGTTTTGTTGAAGAGGAAAACGAAACTAGTTCTTTTGTTTGCTCCTAAAAATCGATCTCGAGTGCGCCAGCAGTTTTAATGACATTCGGTTTGAGGAACGAAAATATTAATTTCGGTAAATTAAATATTACATTTTTCATTTTGGAATAGTAATAACTTAACAGAGCTTATCCACGAAAACAAATGGACCAAAATACCTAATTGCATTCTTGATATTTATTACGCAAACGGCAACGCAGAGTTTCCATGACCGACACCCGTAAACTTCTGATTTTACTGCCGGGGATTTAGCCTCTTTTACCGGGTTTGCACCTGCGTGGCACGGCCATTTATCTTTTTCGTTGCATGCGGGGATGTACTATTGTACTAATGCCCAAAATAGCGCATACTGCAGAAGCGATTGTGTATAATGAACCCAAAATAATGTGTCTGTGTATACACTTTCGTAGGCCAAAATTAGCCAAAATTGATCCTACTGTTATTTCGGCTGACCTTATTTGATAGGTCAAGTTATGTTATGACGCCACTTTGAATATAAAACATTATAAAGGAGACTTGACCAATCAAAGAGCGACAACTCACCTTTAGCCCCTCCCCATATAACACCTTTTATGAATTTTGTATACATGTAATACTCTGGTCCCGCCCAAAGAATCTAGATGCCCATATAAGGAAATTAGACAAGGGAGGACGTGACTATTTTAATCGGAATTTGGAAGGAAATGACAGAAAATAGTAGAAAAGGAAACCGAACTTTCATAACAAGACTGCAAAAACAGTATCCATCAACAGTCGTGATATTTTAACCTATAAAGGTGAAAGGTCACGGCGCGAGTTAACTTGCCTACTTGTTGCTCAGTTTGTTTTGACAATCTCGACCGATCATCATTGCCATTGTCACCTCAAGAATACCATTCTTTTTTCGAGGCAATAGATCAAATTATTTGACAGATAAATTTGACAAAATGCGACCCAATCAATTCTCAGATTTTCTTGGTAGTCCCCCGTCAACCATTGTTTTGTTCGATTGTCCAGCCCCCACCCTACCACCCCACAACCATAAGGGACGCCAAAATCCCCAGAACCCCCACCGCTAAAGACCAAGGATTTCCATCTGTGTATACATAGCATTAATACCTCATAAGAAACCCTCCCTCCCGGGACTAAAATCGGTGATAAAAACCCATTTTTATCGCCCCAAAGTTTGCCTAATTCCCCAGCTTATACATCACACTAAATCCTTTTTTTATTATCTCTCCTTGTGGGCATCGCGTGCAAATACAGCGCATTAACGGAGCTGACGCTATTTGATAGTTACCGCAAGAACTGTACCTGGTCGGTTACTGAGCAAACTAGGTGTATTTCTAGCCCGGAAGAACAATGGTACTTTGCATTGTAACAGTTTTTTTTCTTTCTTTCTTTTTCTTTCGGCAGGTAATATTTACCGATGCCCCATTTTTGGCGCGCAGCAAACAATTTGAGTCAATATTTCCCCTAGGGCCTAGGAGTCATTTATTATCCCCCTAAGCCTCGGCCAAGGCGACCCTCCGGTTGCCAAATTAACCCCCGTGGTTTTTTTTGTTTGCGGAGTTCAAACTCTAGCGCAACAAGTTGCTCCGTTTCTTTC